TTAAAAATGAAAATTTCATAATAAATATCGAAATTTTTCGAAGATTTTTTATTTGTATCAATGACTTATAGGAAAGTGATATATTATTGGTATTGTGATATTTTTTATTTTGAAAACATGTGATCTATCGATTCTAAATTATTTGTTGATATACTAATAGTGGAGTATTGGTGAAAAATATACTAGCAACATTTTTTTTTCTCGTCAATATCAAGTACTAAATTCCAATCAAAGTAGCAATTTGAATGGCCTATGAAGTTCTCTATTCAATATATTCTATTTCGAAATTTTATAGATGGGTTGTAAAAAGAAAATTTTTTAAAAAGCAAACACAGTAATTTTCAGGTCTCAGAAGATTCTGAAAATTTGTTGTTAACAATACCATCTTAAAGAACACAAACTTCTGAATCATATGAGAAGTCACCACATGTTCTACAAATTTCCCTTCAGAAATTATAAGCAACAAAATCAATGATTTTTCTAGTTGATTTTTCGATAAATTGCATTTTCTTTGTTTTGTGTGATGGTTATATCTTTGTATGAGAAGATCGTAGAAAACGTGGCAACATCCCACTTTGTTGAAAACTTCATGCTCTTTAAGATGATACTGTTAGCAACTAATTTTCACATAGTTCTCTGAGATTTATAAACTATTGTGTTTGGTTTTTTAAAAAAACCTTCTTCTTACAGTTCATATGAGAAATTTCGAAATAATTAAATGCTTGGTATTGTAGAAAAAAACTCAACAAATACTTTGTTTTGATATTTTTGGTTAGTACTATATATTGATTAACAAAAAGTAGGATTACGTTTTTTTTATTATAGGATGAATAGTAGAAGATGAAAAACGATGGCTGAATGTAGAAGTCTATTGTTTAACTAGGGAACTGAAAATCACTTTTTTTAGTCCCGGTCCCGGTCCCGGTCCCGGTCATATATTTTTTTTTAGTCCCGGTCCCGGTCCCGGTCCCGGTCAAATTTTTTTCCAGTCCCGGTCCCGGTCCCGGTCTTTGACATTGGCTTCATTCCTAAAATCGAACAATTTTTTAACGATCTATGTACTTTTATGAATACATTAAATTGACATGAATAATTTTGATTCGTTAACATTACGAGAATTGTTTTTATATCCAGTGTTAAAGTGAAAGAATTTCATTGAAAACTCGAATAAATAAAAATAACCATTGAATTTTGTTAAAAATTCTCATGTTCTTCGTAGTGGTCATCTACTCATTTCTCTCTTCTCTTATATCTACTGCTCTAGCTAAGGGATTTATTATCGAATTGATTATTTATACTGAGTCGCCATTACTATTGTCAAAAAAATAAAATAAATGGCGACACATTCCATAAAAAACTGACCGGGACCAGTATGCAAAATTTTTAGTCCCGGTCCCGGTCCCGGTCCCGCAAAAAAGTCAAAATTTGGTCCCGGTCCCGGTCCCGGTCCCGCCGGGACCGGGACCGGGACCACTTTGCAGTTCCCTATGTTTAACCGAGCTGAATGAAAGATATTTTTTCATGAAAGGATATGAAGAAAAGCAATAATGATAGTTATATATACAAGTAGCTGGAATACTTTGCTAATTACATGAGATAATTAATCTTCTTTGTGATGAATATTTAATTCAAAATTTTTGATATAGATCTTTAATTCATCGAACACCATTCATTGGTAAATTAATGAGGAATGTGATTTTTACAATACGTTTATTATTTGTATTCTAATAATAAACTAAAATAATATCAGTAAATTATTGTATAAATATCATTTTCATGATAAAACAAGGATTTAATAAAATTGTTTGATATAATGTTGAATCAAATTTATTAATAATTATTTTTAAAGTAATGAAACTTCAATTTGTTCTGAACAATATGAATATTCATATAGGAGAAATTTTTGTAGGTATTATAGCTTGAAATATGTAAAGTTCAAATTATATAAGAAATTAACTAATACAATAAGAATCATCAATCTCATCTAAGATTGATGATAATTCAATGAATTGGTATTTATCATTTTTCTTTTTTTATAAATTTTTATATCGAAGCAAAAGATCGAATTATTCAGTTTGAAAAATGAAATATTTCTGTAAGACAATAAACACGCGCAATTATTTATTTTATACGATAGAAAACCAAACAGAAGGCAAAAAAAAGTGTTTTATAAACGATCTGAATATATATGATGAGCATAATTCGTTAAATATTGTTCATCATTCTGTTCATGTGATGAATCATCATGTTCAATTGAATTATTTGTTTGATAATAATATGTTGAATTCATTGTTGTTGGATAATATAAAATATGTTGTTGTTGTTGCTGTTCGTGTTCTTGTTCTTGTTCAATATTATTCATTTTAGTATTATTATCACGTTTAACAGGTAAACGTGCAGGTGCACCACGAGCTTTATATAATTCTTGAAAAAGATCATCAAGAAAATTTTTTGGTAAATGTCGTCGATATTCACCATATTCACATTCAATATCAGTTTTAGTTTGTTTAGCTTGACCTTTATTAATTAATTGTACTTTACGACGTTTATTTTGAAACCATATTCGTATTTGATCACGTGATACACCAATATATTTAGCAATAAGTGTCTTTTGTAAACTATTTGGATATTTATGTTTTTTAAATATTTCATTAAGCATAACAAGTTGATGACGTGTATAATTAGCACGATTTTGTGGTAACATCATTGTTGTTGATGATGGAGTAATAAAATCATCAGATGAATAAATATGAGATGAAGGAAGAATAGGAGCCGATGAAAATTGTGATGATGAAGAATAAAAAGACATTTCGGATGATGATGCGATTGGTTCAGAACTTGATGGATAAAATGTTTCAATTGAACAATAATTTTCAATAGGTTGAAGAACAGATGGTACAGATGATGTTTGATAACTCATTGTTGTCGATGGACAAAGTAAAGATGATGATGATGATGATGACCAACTTGATAGATTATTATTGTAATAAGAAGGATGATAATAAGATGTATTATTAAAACAATTTGTATCTAATTGTAATGGTGATAGATTCATGTTTAATGATAATAATGTTGAATTTCTTCTAGACAAACAATTGATCGTATTGCTTAAATAATGAGAAATAAAATTATAATCGAGTCTATTTATATGTCATCTTTCTTTTTCTACGAAAAAAAAAATTACTAAATATATTTTTTTTCTTGCTCTCCAGGAAGGCGATTGTTGTTCGGTAAGCAATTTAATGCGCACACTAATCAACTTGATCACTGATGATGTTTCCTTCTATTCGAATATTGTATATCAAGGTGAGAATAAGCCAAATTAGATGTCAATATTGTCACGTAAAAAATTATGCAATGAGTTTTAATATATATACATGATCATTTTGTGTATTGATGGGAGAAATACGTAATCAAATTAGCAGAAAAGAAAAGGTATGCCTAGAGGCGAAAATAAGATGATCTCATATTTTTAACTCTATACTTTTAGTATAGAGTGAAGTAGAGAACTCTTTTTTTTTAATGTTTTAGCAGATCTTCATGTAAGTGTATAAGTTTGATATAGACAATTTTGCTGACGTACTAACGTATGAATTTATGATAATATACAGTGTCATGATATCATTTAAAAAACTGGATCAATATGAATAATCCCTTTGTATAGTTTTTATTGTAAGAGACTCAAAAGATAATTAACAAGTGTTAATATGTTATTAATTCAGTAATGGATTAAGAGTTTTTTTTCTGAAAAACATTCTTGTTTGTTAGAAGTATCAAAGATAGGATAGTGGCTCAAATAGGAGATCATAGTGGGTAGAACAGTACTCTACGATTTTGAAAGACACCCATGAAATATAGTGGCAATGATAGTAACTATTACGTTATTCTTTCTTCTCTCGATAAAGTACCACTTGGTGTAACCTACTCTTGGTTATACCACTAATGTAGAATATACAATAGAATTAATCAATATTTATAAATCTTATGTTGTTAGGAAACTATGCATAGATAAGTGTTCATTCGATCCAGATACTATATTTAGGAAAGATGATATATTCATAATATTCACAATTATAATTAAAGTTGTAAAAAAACAATAATAATGATTTTGAAAGAAAGCATGCATGACATATGTTCATCACAAGCTAATCTTTTATTGAATTATTTAATGCTTTAGTGCAAGACTCGTTCATTATATCTATTTGATTTATTGATTGAGTATATATTGAATGATTAACGAAAAAAAGTAGAGAACAAATTGGTTATTTTATAATAAATATAAATAAGAATCAAACATGAAAGTTTACGGAATATAATTCAGTTGGTTTGAATAGTTTAGAGAAGAACGAACATTGAGATTATTAGAACCAATTGATGATTATTACAATTAATTTATTTTCCGTCTTAATAAATGAAGTTATTGAAGTGTTATATAATTATTCTGTATTTTTTTTTATCATAGATATCAAAAATACAAACTCGATGTGTTTTATTTTGATGATAAAATATACTTTCTCGAAGAATATCTTTTCATTGTATTGAAATGACAAATTTATCAAGATAAATATTTTAATATATATACTTAAATGATATTAATCGCTGCTATATTCGAGGTCTTTAGATTTGCTTTAATTGATATCATAAATTTATATAATTCTTCTTTAAATCATACGCGTATGAATCAGTTTGATATATCTAACATATCGCATTCTGTTGCTGAAGTACACGTACGACCTCTTTCATTGAAAGATTTTGTTTTTTCATCAATGACACAGTCATGCATTGTGACGTTGACTGCATCCATTACACTTTCCCATTTGATTGCAACGTTGCGTTGTCCTATGATTGGTATTTATTGGATGAAGAGTATTCGTATATGCGTATATACGTGTGATAGAAAAGCGATTGGTGACGATTTATAGTTGTTTCCCACCATTATTTGCATTTCATTTTATTTTTTATACGAAAAATAACTACAGCAGACAAACAATATTGTCGAAATGGGTATCAAATTTCTTGAATTTGTCAAACCATTCTGTCAGCTTATACCTGAAATTCAAAAACCTGAACGTAAAATTCAATTTCGTGAAAAAGTTTTATGGACAGCTATAACATTGTTTATCTTTTTGGTTTGTTGTCAAATACCATTATTTGGTATCATGTCATCAGATTCAGCTGATCCATTTTATTGGTAAGTTATACAAAAAAAAAGAAGGAAACATTGAACAGAAATTTTATTTTTATCATCAATCTTTATATATAGGATTCGAGTTATTCTTGCATCAAATCGTGGTACTCTAATGGAATTAGGTATATCACCAATTGTTACATCAGGTCTTATCATGCAATTATTAGCCGGTGCAAAAATAATTGAAGTCGGTGATACACCAAAAGATCGTGCTCTATTTAATGGTGCACAAAAACTTTTTGGTATGGTTATTACAATTGGACAAGCTATTGTTTATGTTATGACTGGCATGTAAGTTCATAATAAACTCAATAAATAATTTGGATTTTAATATGTTTTTTGTTTTTAAATAGGTATGGTAATCCATCAGAGATCGGTGCTGGTGTTTGTCTTTTAATAATAATTCAATTATTTGTTGCCGGTCTTATTGTCTTATTACTTGATGAATTACTTCAAAAAGGTTATGGTCTTGGTTCTGGTATATCATTATTTATTGCAACAAATATTTGTGAAACAATTGTATGGAAAGCATTCAGTCCAGCAACAATAAATACTGGACGTGGTACTGAATTTGAAGGTGGTATTATTGCTTTATTTCATTTATTAGCTACACGACATGATAAAGTTCGTGCATTACGTGAAGCATTTTATCGTCAAAATTTACCAAATTTAATGAATTTACTTGCTACTGTCTTTGTCTTTGCTATTGTTATTTATTTTCAAGTATGAAAAAAAGACAAGCCAAAATTCTTTATACTTATAGAATGATTTTAATTTTTCTAGGGTTTTCGTGTTGATTTACCAATAAAATCAGCTCGTTATCGTGGTCAAACATCATCATATCCAATTAAATTATTTTATACATCAAACATTCCGATTATACTTCAATCGGCACTTGTTTCAAATTTATATGTTATATCACAAATGTTATCAACAAAATTTTCGGGAAATTTTATTATTAATTTATTAGGTGTTTGGGCTGATAGTGGACCACAACGTTCATATCCTATCGGTGGTTTATGTTATTATTTATCACCACCAGAATCCTTACAAGGTATGTTAGTTGATCCTGTACATGCAGTACTTTACATAGCTTTTATGCTTGGTTCATGTGCATTCTTTTCAAAAACATGGATTGAAATATCTGGTTCAAGTGCAAAAGATGTTGCTAAACAATTAAAAGAACAACAAATGTAAGTAATTTGTAAAAATAAAATAAAATCTTTATTATTAACTAAATATTTCTTAGGGTAATGCATGGTCATCGTGAAAAATCAATGATTCATGAACTTAATCGATATATTCCAACAGCAGCTGCTTTTGGTGGTTTATGTATTGGTGCATTATCGGTATTAGCTGATTTACTTGGTGCCATTGGTTCTGGTACTGGTATATTATTAGCCGTAACTATTATTTATCAATATTTTGAAATATTTGTTAAAGAACAGAATGAATTAGGTGGTATGGGTACACTTTTATTTTAAGATTAATTTTTTTTTTTTTCGTACATCTTCAAATTCTTTGACTGTCATATTCGTTCTGTTTTTGTTTTTTTCGTTTTCTTTTTTTCTTCTTAAACTGATCGCTTATATTTATATATCATTGTGTGTTTGACTTGTTGTTGTATTACAACAAGAACGATAGAGATTTTCTTGACGTTTTGAAAACTATGAAATGAGAAAGAAAAAAAAAGAACCATTTAGATTTGTTCTAGATGATAGGTATAAATGCGTATGTTTATGCATATTTATAGGTTCTTTTTGTTGGTGAGAATTTCTTCTTCTTCTTTTTTTCTTTCCATTTGAATGTTTTGTTTCGATGTCTCTTTCGTGTTCCTCATTATTGTTATATCATTGTTGTTTTTACTTTAAAGCAAAATTGTTTGTGATGATATAATGATTAAAACAGAAAAAAAAAACAACGAAATATCACAAACACAAGAGAATTATTCGAAAAATTGATATTGTCGATAAGATGTTAATTTAAAAAAAGGTTATTTAATATAAATCATTTTGAAAAATATTGGACAGTATTTTAACTGTGAATTTAAGGACATGAAAATCGTTGCTTTTGTTTTTAGAAGAATTGAAACATAACATCACATTCAATAGAAATTAACATTAGTATATTGTTTTTTTTTTTGTTGAGCTTATTAAGAATAAAATATTTTCTTTTCTTTTTTTGAAATCTTTTACAATTGGCATTTAATTTTGATAAAAAAAAATGTATGTGATATATTATAATTCATCTAGAATAGTTAAATTCTTTATTTTAAATCTTGATATGTGTATTGATGTTTTCATCTGTCGATCAAAATGATTATATTATATAACAAGAGAAAAAGATATCAAAGTTTTCAAGCATTCACATGCATATATTAATTGAAAATATCAGCAATCATTGATTTGTTAGAATTTTAAAACTGTAATGACACGTACATATGATGTGTCATAAGGAAAAATTGTCAAAGGTATTTTCCACATATATTCGTTTTCTTTCGTTCTATTAGGTATTGTTCCTAGTATATTCTCTTGTTTTCGTCCCTTATTGTCTTCTTTGTTTTGATATGCTCACTCATGTATTTTTCCAATCGTATTACGTTATCTATTTCGGTAAATTCCACCTTTCTTCTAACATCTAATATAAATACCAGTTGTTCGTAAGTAAAGAAGAAGATAGAGTGAAGTTAAACATAGGAGTGTAATTAAAGATAACAATAAAAAATCTATATACATCAACGTTTATTATCGAGCATGACAAACATATTGCGATCAATGTATAAAGTTAGAACGTATATTAACTTCTTTAGAATGGCTTTAGTCTGGAAATAAATAGAAATTTTTGAAACTCTGAGATAATGTACATATATGTATGGATGATGGGCAGAACCAGAATGTACTGAAAGAAAGAACTAATATGAAAATACCAAGTAATTCTCATCTTCGATTATTTTTTTCGATGCACTGCTAAAATCTGTTAGCCACTAATATCGGTTTCAAAATAAAAAAAAGGGTGAGTATTTTTAGAATAACTTTTGATAGGAACAAGATAGGCAGCTGTGGTTCTCACCGTTGGAAAGAGGCGATGAAACTGCATCGATTCGTATTTTTCAGATTTTTTTCTGACAAGTATTTTCAAGGTCTTCCCAAGAAGTTTTTTAAAAACTCAAAGATTTTAGATGTAGAAGAAATTGATTTTTTATTAAAAACTAAGGAAAATAAATGCGAAAACCTCGGATTTAAATCCGAGTGTTATGTGTACTTCAAAAAGTGAAAACGATATATTCACTGTGTTTTTTATCACTAAATTTCAAGGAGAAATTACAGGCGTGCTAAGTTAGCATCGACCACACTATATGCAACCCTATACGGTGACCACTGACTCTACTCTCAGACTGATATTATATCTTTAGAAATCAGTGGAATTTAGTTCAGATTCGTGTTTAGATTGGAAAGCTGGGTAAGAAGAGTTATTTTTGAATGAATTTGCATTTGTATCTAGCAGGATTACGATCGTAAACAACCACATCAATCTATAAGAGATATACCAGAGATACAGATATCAGGATTTTCCTAATAAATCACCAATATAAATAGCTATCGAGTTAGGTTTTTTACATTTCGATAGTCCTTTTGACTAGCTACTAAATCAGGCATTTGGAAAACCCCAAAACTACTGGTCATCTGAGACACATCTAGCCTATTTGCTTTCTCAATCCAGTTTTTCTGCATTTTGAGACCTTTTTCAGGCGATGTTTTGTTAGAAAACTACAATTTGGTTCAAAACTAATATCAGATTCGGAATCAGCATTAAAAACTGAGTCGATGTATATATGTCGTGAATAATTTTGAGAAAAATATTTTTTTTTGAAAAACTCCCTGTACCTTCCTTCAGGGATGGTCTTCTCAATAATGACAATTTTTTCGATAACTCAGCCATTTCGAGATGGATCCTTCTCATCGTTCTTCTCTCAACCGAGACATTGATGAGACTAAACTGTGTAGAAAATTTCATAATAATCTGACTCTTCTTTTGAAAGTTATCGTGTATACGGCCGGCCAGACATACTGACCGATTCTAGAGTGTATGAACTTTTTGAGTGCACAAAAAACTAATGATAATCTACTAATGAGTCTTAAACTTTCCGTAAAACAGGATTAGTTCGAACGTCCGATATGAAATTCACAGGGATGATATTAATCCTATAAGGAACATAATCTTCTCACTCCTCTTATACTATTTCCAGAAAACATCTTCTAAAATAAATATTAATATAAAATTTTCGATGTTTATCTATATATAAATTACGACAACTTTTATCATAAATCTTGGTTAACCTCTCTCATTCTCTCTTGCTCTTATATAGTCAAAGTTGATGATGAGATTAGTCAAATATGTCAAGATCTTCCACATATGACAATTTTAATTCCTATATAATTTAATTTCAATCTGGATTTTCATGAGAAAAAAACTTAGATTAATATGCACTCCCAACTCCATCTACACACAACATTTAATAATCAGTGAGAGAAGAGTGTGACTATGGATATTATTAATAGTTATAACGTAGAGATCCACATCAACCCAAATCGTTATCAACATCTAAACTTACACCCACAGTCCACTTAATAGAGTTCTTTATTTGAATTGAAATTGCATCGCGGTATGAGGATTTCCTTTGTATATATATATATATTTATGTAATTACTTAATTTTTCATAAAATAAGAAAATTATTTCCTATTAGATATAATTGATTATAACATATATTAATTTTGGACTGATTTTCTCTCAAATGAAAGTTAATTGATTTAAATTGATAATTAGAATTATGTTGACAAGATTAGGAAGAATTTTAATAGTTATTTTATTCAGGCGCTATTTTAACATTCGAAAAAATTCTATATTATTATTTAAAGTATATTATTTCTTCTTTTTTGTTTATCATATTCAATGTTTTCCACAATCATTATTTTAATTCAAAATAATCAATAGAGAATTTACTATCCTCAATACACATTGAACAATAATAAATTCATATAATAAATGGTTATATTATAATCGTTTTTTTGTTATTAACCAAATTAGTAGCTTAATTCAAATTACAGTACTTTTATGGTCCTTATAATTATTCGTCACCCAGTGAAAAATATCCTCTGATTTCAATAAAATTATTGTGCAACAAAATCCAATCCGCAATCGGATTGATAATTTTGATTTTAATCAACCATCATTTAACCCAAACTTACTGCCATCGCCAGCCCAGTGGAAATTAAATGGATTGAAATCGGATTGTTTTTCAGTGAAATCCAGATTGTCAATCGATTGATAATTTTGAATTGTGCAACAGAACAATCCGATTTTAATCAAATTAATTTCCATCGAGCTAGCAATAATATCAAGTTTGGATTAAATGGTGATCGATCATAATCAAAATTATCAATCCGATTGTGGATTGGATTTTGTTGCACAATAATTTTATTGAAATCAGAGAATATTTTTCACTAGGCACTATGTCTATTTTAATTGTATAGATATAAGATGATCATGTAGACGACATATCCATAAACGATGCGCCAAAAATCTTTTCTACTATACTTACTATATCAATTTAGTCTTCATTTTCGACAAGTACAAGGAACTTTTCAATTTTTAGCTCCTATCATTTGAATTGTGCTGATTGAACTCAAAAATATCCTCTCTAACAGACTCTAAATAAAGAATATAATTAAATAACATGTTGATTATTGTAAGAGCATGATGACTATTGTCGAAGGAATACATTGACTGAGTTATTTTACTCAATAATAATAAACGAGAAAAACTTGTTATCGCACGTTCCAAACGAGCTAAAATGTGGAAGTTACGTATTTGTTTTTTTATTTTTTATTTTTTATCTTGATGTCTAATATTTTAATTCAAAAAACCTTTTTGTTGAATACATATGAAATAATTTATATTTTATATAAATATTAAAGCCTTTTTTTCTGTGGTTGCTAAAGTCTGTTATTGTTGGATGTTTTTAATGAGGAGGAAGAGCGCAAAACCTCAACTTAAAAGTAACATTCATTATTTTCTTCGAAAACATATGTGAGTTCTAAAAGAGTATCTTGTATTTTTTGTGTAAGTATGTAATTAAGTTATTAAAATTTCATTGAAAGTATTAAAGACTGATATTGAATATGAATTAGATCGAGTTTGACAACTTTAAACCAAAATGATTCTAATCAAGAGTAGAAAAACAATTTTTGCGAAGAGAAATTATTTAAACACAAAGACAAATTAATATCAATCCTAAAGGATTAGATTATGATTATATTTTAGTAGTTCAGGGTGGTTTTTTTATCAGTGATAGAGGCATGTACCAAGTTAATATCCATAATGGACATATCTAGGGAGATCTTTTTGTTAAGTATTACTATTGATTTCAACAAAAAAAAGTTTTACTTTTTCAAAGTTAGAAAAAAGGTCACTTTATCGACAAA